ATATCTATTACAATTCCCTTGACCCCACTCCCACACTATACTCCACGTCCCATGACTATATATATATATATATATATATATATTCACTTATAGTTGACATACAATATTATACAATATCAGCTTTAGGCATACAGTGCAGAGATCAAGCCTCTACCCCATCCATGATGCGGTCTCCCTAGCAAGACGTGACCACCTGACACCCTACAAAATATTTACAACATTATTAATTATATTCCTCAAACTATCTTTCATGTCCCTGTGGCAATATTGTAGTTACATATTTATGCTGTCTAATCCCGTCCCCTTCTCCCTCATCCCCACCCCCTCCCAACTAGCAGCCATCAGTTGTTCCTCTATATTTCTGAGACCACTTCTGTTTACTTTGCTTGTTCATTCAGTATTTTAGATTCCACATATAAGTGAAATCATATGGTGTTTGTCCAGAACAGGAATTTTTATAGATTAAGAATTATTTGCAATTAAGGGATGAAGGACTTTGACCTCATATAAAGGGATTTCAGGGATCAAAGTAGGTAGAAGATTGGCTTCCACAGGGCTGGGTGATCTTGCTAGAACTAATGACATTCATTTATGTGTGAGGCTGACTCCTGAGCCGGACATACCGCTGTGAGGTCCCAGCAAAAACCAGCAGTAGAAAGTATCATTGCATTGAAAACAAGCTCATACTCAAACTCTTTAACAAGAAGACATCTGTTATGATTGAGCATTTATTAAAATCAAAGCACCATGACCCTCAGGCCTCTCACATGCAGAGACTTTAAGGATGTTTGGGAATAAGGATACAGCAGTCATTTATATTGAGCACATACATACAAATGCAGGTACTAAGCTAAGCAACTTGCATGGATTCTTTAATGCCATCCTCACAATACCTCTGTGGGTTCTATCCATATTCCCCATTAGATGGATGGAGCCACTGAGACCTACAGCAGGTCAGGAGCTTTTACGTGGTCACAGGGCTGCTGAGTGGAAAGCAGGCAGACTGGCTGCAGAGCCCCATATGCCGCCCTGTAATTTGTGTGGTGGGGGAGAGTCGGGAACCACAGCCTTTTGCCTTATCATGTACAAACTGAAGATAGATGACACAGGGCAAGGGTGGTGGTGGCTGGAAAAAAGATGACTTTGGTCTTTGGGCACATTGATCTGGGAGGACAGTCTCAGTGTTCTTAGTCTGTATAAACAACTGTCTGATAATAAAATACACATATCAGTGATAATCAAAATTTAAAATAACCCTGACGAATGAAAGGAGAAGCACAGGGAAAGGATGACCCTTTCTTTAGGGTTTGTCCATCACTACAGGCTGAGCTACCTGTTTTTGAGAAAAAAAAAACAAAGCTGGGGCTGGGGCGGGGCCTGGAGCCTGTTACATAAAATCTACCCTCATTTTCTTTTGACATCTTAACAAGTCTGGGAATGTGAATAGTTGAACAAGAAAAACAAGATCCAAGTCCAAGTGGAGGATAGGAAGGTGTAAGTGATGAAGGAGAGCAAAGGTGAGAGCTGAGGCCTTCCCAGGAAGGAGGCCTGGGGGGCTTTTAACCTTTCTTTTTGATATAGACAAAGACACTTTTTCCATTTTTTGTTAAGTGCTATAATATTGGAGGTTCAATGGTCTCTCTTAGATACGACTGCTGCCCTTAAGCCCTTTAGGAATAGAAATTGTGCCCCAGAAATGGGTTGAGAAAATTCTGGGGGGGGTGGGGCGCAGAGGATTTGCGCAGACTCAGTAGAACTGGTTCTATGAAGATAGCTGGTCATCCTGGGCTGGAGACCCCTCTGTGGCCAGAGGGTTGGAGAAGGCTCTGTTCTGGGTGGAGGAAGTGATGGAAGATGACTGGAAAGGAAATCAAGTTATAGTCCTGATTCTGCTAAAAAAAGAACAGCACAAGAAAACCAGTTCCTTGGTTTATGTTCTTTCCAAGTTTTGTGCATTTCACAAATGCAGCCTGTTCAGGTTTTTCTCCTACAATTTTGGTAATTTAAGACTCCTTTTTAGTAGGAGTCAACAGCTGATGGGTACTTACTTACCTTTCCTGTCAGGAAGTCAACATCATTCTGTGACAGGCACTAAAGCAATAGTCAGTAAACATGTCAGTGGCTTGTGACACAGTTGAAAAGGCATAAACACTTGCTGTCAACAGCTTTGGTCTTGAATCCTGGCTCTGTGAGTTACTACTTCTGTGTCTTCAGTCACTTTCCAAGACTCTCAGAGGCTCACTGTCCTCATTTTTTAAATGGCCATACAATCTACCTTGAGTGATTGTGATGAAGATGAAATGAGATGAATACAAGTGCCAGGGTTTTCAATGAAGAGTAGGTATCATCAGTGAGCAGATCTCTGACAGGAGCAATATTTATATATGGATTGAAGCTCTCAACCAAGAGCTAGCAAAAGGAAACGGGGCATGGATATTCTAAAAATAATTTATATTTGATGTAGAATGCATTGTACATATTCCTTCAAGCCGATTTATCTTGTGAATTACCTGCCACTCTAGCTAATACTGGAATTAGCGTGACTTTCTCAGCAATCTGATGGCTTGCTTGGTAGGGACAGTGGCCCAGAAGCATTCTGAGGAGTTTGGGAATCAATGTGTTCATGAAATTCAGCTTCAGTGAGAGTGATCTCCCCTCCTCCACTCCCCACCCCCGAATTGGTGATCTATAAAGAACATATCTTTTGGAACTTTTTTCCCCCTTAGGTGTTCATTGCTTATTTTTAGTCATTCCCTTACTTTTCATGTGTTCTATTGTATAATCTTAGCAGGACCAAAATAAATTTTCTCCCTTTGACTGCTCACAAATTGCAATATGATGGTGTCTTTGACATTGTAACATATTGTATCACTTCCATAGGCACAAGGAGACTCCTTTTCTCAGATTTCACTTGATCCCTTCTATAACATCCAGGAGTAAAATAAAACCATGGCAGACTGTTCTCATTGACCAAGCATCCTTTTAGCGTCTTCCTTTTTGCTTTGTGGTGGTGTGACCTCTGATCTTGGCCTTGTGGCCTTCAGGGTTTCTTTCGATCATCATTGTCCTAACCAAACTTACACACTTCCAGTCTTTAGCTATTGAAACTCACCTTGTTTATTTTCATTTTAATTGGAAGAATACTAGCTACATAATGCCCTTGGATCCTAATGATCAGCAAGCAGACACATGAAGCCTGGATCACCCATCGCTTGCTTCAGATCTTGTAAAATTGGGGTTGTAAGCTCCACAATACTGTAACCTTGAGATGCCCAGTAAGTCACCGTAGTTGCCATAGAACAAGCTTTCTTTCATCAGTGTATTGTTGATCAGGAACACCCCCAAATAAATTGGGTTTAAGTTCGAGTTAGCCCTTGGAGCCATGTTGATTAAGTATTTACACAATAAGGGCAAGCGGTACCTGCTGCATCATCTTAGAAAGCAAACACTTGCCTAGTGTGCATGTGAGTAGAAACAGTTACCACCAGCGTAGGTGGTAACGTAAGTTGAAGGGAGCCACGGGAACTTGTGTTATCATCCGCCTGTTGATATGATACAGGTGTTCTTTCTCAAGCATCATCCTAAGGAGAGCCTTGTGGAGGAAAATGTAAGGCCGTCCATTGGTTGAGTCACTGGTTTGGTGATTCTTCATATTTTGAAAGTTTATAAAATGCTTAATCTATATTATATTAAATAATCCTCACTATGGAGTGGATATGATCTCCATTTTCACAGATGAAGAAATGGAGGCTCAGAGTCAATAAATTGTCCAGTGTCACATAGTTGATTAATGGCAGGACCAGAATTTGAGTTCTGATCGGTTTGACAGGTTAGCTCATACTCTTTTCTCTGGGACATGTTGTCTGCTATGAAGTTCAAGGAATATATTAAATTAATAAAGTATTGTTCCCATCATCAAAATAGTATACTCTCCTGGGTGAAACAAGTCATACTAATAAGTTATAAAGAAGAGGCTGGGTAAATTTAATTGCATACAAAAATGTCAATCAGTTGGTTTAAACTGTATACTTCACTTGGCAAGCTATTCTATACTGTCACACAGGATCTGGCAAACTACAGCCTGGGGCCAAATTTAATAGCTATGTTCATTTATATACATTCCATCCATGGCTGCTCTGTTGTTATAGTGGCAGAGGTGAGTAATTGCAACAGAGATTATATGGCTCATCAAGCTGGAAGTAGTTACTCTGGCCCTTTACAGAAAAAGTTTTACTACCTGTCTCTGCTGTAGAGCATAAAAATGAACAAATAGCAGAAATGAACATATAGTAAATGAATACCGGGGATGCCAAAAAAATGTATAAGCATGACTTGTATTCATCTTTTGTTATCGGTATATACTGAGTATTACAATTTCAGTACAGTTTTTTTCCTTTCTTAAAATGTGTATACATTATTTTGGCACCCTCTCTATATGGCAGAACAAGCCATCTGTTATAACAATGTCTTTAGCCCTTTATAAGAGTTAAATGCCTTAGTTCTTATGAAAGTTATCTGATTTCCATTATGTGTTATTAAAATTATAAATAAATATACATTTTGAAGACCCTAGCAAAAACATATAGGATCTGGATTGGCTTATTGATTGACTCATTTCTTGCCATTTCAAGTCGTTTTACTGAAAAGTTAAAACCCAAAAACAAACAAAAAAAACACTTTAGCATGCCTCACTCAAAACACATCTTGTGTTGATAAAACTAGCAGCCAAATGCAAAATGAAGTAGAATATTAATTCTAATAGTTGGAGTTCATATCTTCGTTATTTATGGGGAAATACTTTAATATTTAATAATTGCATTCTCTTGGCTCTTTATAAACCATGTCCTTAATTACCTGAAGGCTTGACATTCTTCAGCCTGGTGACTGGTTTTCAAAGTTCATGTAATGATTAGGTGGAGCAGAAAAACAGGAAGTAAGGCTGCAGTGTGACATAGAGGAAGTAGCTCAGGGAGCCTGGAGTTCTAATCTGGGCTGGTCAGCACACTGGCTAAACCAGACGTTTAATCTCTCTCTGCCCTTGTTTCCTGTAACCTGAGCTTGGAGACACACAGCTTCTGTGTGTGAGTAGAGCCTCTAAACTTGATTCCTACCTACCTTCTGTCTGAAAACCTATTGTACCTCCCCATATCTTTGGGTTTCTGAACAACGGAATTAACCTAGTTGAGTTAATAATTTCAGCATCTATTTAGAGACTGTTTTAAAGATTCATTAGCCGCTTCCTGGCTATAAAATGAGATATTCTAGGAGGTTAATTGCAATGAGCCATGGTGTGTTAAGAACTAAAATCTCTACCTTGTGAAAGTCTATTGTTCCCTGTAAACTGCTTAGGGAACAGGAAGGGGAAAGGAATCTTCAGTTTGATCTGCAGAAGTTCAAAACTCTCTCTTCCCAGAAATATTTGCTCCACTCAGATGACCAACCAGGCCAGGCTTGAGTGGCGAAGTCACCCAATATGACCTAATCAGACTTCTACCGGACACAGCTCATCTACTCTGAGGCCTCTTGCCTTTACCTACAGCGTCTATTCCACTGAGAGTCTGGAAACTTAGTTCCCTGGAGTCTGTGGGTGCCCAGCTCAAGAACCCCCAACCCATCCTTTTTAAGTGCTGTGGTCCCTATTTTTCTACAGTGTCAAGGTGGGCTCTCAATTTTCCTTGTACGGTTCTTTCTTTTTTTTTTAATTAAAATTTATTGGGGTGACAATTGTTGTCAAGTTACATAGGTTTCAGGTATACAAGTCTATAATACATCATCTGTATATCACATTGTGTGTTAACCACCCAGAGTCAGTTCTCTTTCCATCACCATATATTTGATCCCTTTTACCCTCATCTACCGCCCACCTCCCCCCTTAGTAGGGTTATTTCTTAAACCCTGTAATGGGGTTTCTAGTCCTGACATTTTCTTAGGCACGAGGGGAAACTGGCCTCATTTGGCTGGTCCCTGTGGAGCTTGGTAGTTTTCAATTCTCTCTCAGGGCAAGTCTTCATACAGCAGGCAGAGATCTTAGTCTATTCTCCACAGGGAATTATTTGGGAGTTGCTAGTTTAATGTTTTTCTACTCTTATACATCATTTACTTTATTGACTGTTTGTATTATCTGTTGCTGACAGAGGCCTATAAAATTTCTATGAGACTGTAGATTTGTCATATTTTCTTTGTAGTTCTGTCAATTTTTGCTTTGAAAAATTTGAAGCTGTATCTTACGTGCATACAGGTTTGGGATTGTTTTATCTTTTTGGTGAAATTTTCCTTTTTATCATTATTATTCATCTTTCTTACCAACTTCCCCCCCCCCAAGTCTCTGTTGTTTAACACTTGCCTGGTATAGGTAGTTTTTTCCTCCCTTAGATTTAATTCACTTTATTTTGCTGATAAAACAAATGCAGTGGCCACAGAAGAATCCCGAGTATTTGGAGATGACACCAGGTGTGGATGTTTAAGATGATCAGGAAATTCTTGCTCAGGAGACTGAGTGTTGCCTCTTCCTAGGTCAGAATGAGAATGTTGTGCTGTGTCTTAGAGATAGAATCAAAGGAGGCGTTAGCCAACTTACCCAGGGTGGCAGCAAAATACTCTTGATTAACAGCAGCCTGTTGGAAAGAGAGACAGAGAAATTGTCACTATGGAAGGAAAGAAGGGATCAGATGCACAAGCTCAGAGCCACCATGCCCAGCCAACTTGCAAGGAGAGAGTAGATTTGCTGATGTGTTTCCTAAGTAGTCCTGCCTCAGATAATGGATGCCTTGCTCAAATGATGGCACTCATGAATGGCAGATGCCACTTCCTTGGAGGATCCGACATCTAGATCAATGAGTCATTATGATTCCCACTATTCACAGATATCCTGGAGCTGGTTTGCTGGTTACCCCTTTTATGTCTCTGTAAAGGTGTCATCTTTAGTATCTAATCCTCAAGAAATGGCCCCAGGAAGAAGTCAAGGACGGAAAGGAGAGAGACCTCCTTCAGGAACATCATTATCATGTCCTTGACCACCTGGCCCAGCTTGGTGCCCAAGGCCAGTGTCTGTCCCTGTCCTTGTCCTCCCTGCCTGTCCTAAGCACCAGCCAGCATCATCTGCAGTCTTTAGCCTCTGGTGATAGTTTGGAGAAGCTATAGTGGACTTTCCACTAATTTCTTCAAATCTGTCTGATTTGAAGATAGATTTAGCCTCTTTTTAAAGATAGATTTAACCATTTAACCTCTCCATTAATGTCAGTGATTTACTTATTTATTTTACAAATTAAGCACTAATAAATGTTAGCTATTATTATCCTTCCTTTAATATGACTTCTAACATAGGGATTGTACAGTCTCTCAGGTTGTTCTACCATCTTGAGTTCTTAGAGGTGTTAATTTTCCTGTGGTCGCATCTGCTGGCTCTCCATTAGGGCAGATTGCTTCTTTGTGAGTTTTGTAATTTTTTAATGTTTGGCTCATTTTTAGCTAGGTTGGTTTTTAATGTGAGAAACACAAATGTTTGGGGTTTATTGAGCAATTTGGGCTTTGCTTCTGTTGGTTCTGCTCTGGTTATCTCTGGATTGAGGTAAACTTTTACGTTAGTTTCTCAATCATGGAATTTAGACCTGCACGTGGTAAGCCCTGCAGTTTTTTTATAGGGCACTTTTTGGGGATACTTTTTGTATACACATACTGTGTGTGTGTGTATTTGTGTGTTTGATTATATTTTACTCAATATTCAAGATTTTGCAGGATTTGGAGTCCTTTATTCTCTATGTCTGTATGGTAAATTTTTAGTTTGCAGCCAACTGTTCAATATGTGGCCTTTCCTCACAACACAAGCAAAACCCAACAAACTCCCTATACTTAAGGAAAATCTTTTTATTTTATTTATCTTGAAGATGGTAATGAATTGGCCAAGGAGCTATCATAAAAATTAAAAGCAAGCAAAACAAAACAAACTGCCTGCTATAGGCAAGATGTAGATAATAAAGAGGTTCTGTTGCTTAAGGTATTTAGCTAAGCCTTATATTCATAAGCAATACAGCTAGAATCAAATTTTTATTTTATATATATTTGGAGCTTTGATTTAGTGAGAATAATATAAAATGGTAGGTTTGCTGAAAGCACCTGGCATTGAGATTTATGTAGAATTTTTTTTATTGCTGTCAATAACTTGTGGTATTTTTAAACCTTTCTTAGGGACAGAAAATGCATTTACATGAAAGATTTCTGTAAATTTTCAGGGGGTCCATGGACTTCTTGGAGCCTACCCAAAGGCATCAGGTTATAAATCTTTAAATTATGTGGGGTTTGGGCTAGAGATAAATTAAATCCATCATAATTGAGCACCCTTGTTAGGGCTTCTGAGGCTTCCAACCAGAGCACCCATCTTTTCCACCCAGTCTCTTACCAATTTGATCAATTTTTTTAAAAATGTGTAAAATCTAAAGAAATCCTCTTTATTATAAATAGAGGCCAGGTTGCAGGATATGGGTTAATAGGGAGACAAATAGTTCTCTTACTGAACCCTAGAATTAGCCTGATTTACCCACCTGGACCCTGGCAGTCCAGACCAGGGTTGATGTCTTTACCTGGGTAAGTACTAAGGCAGGAAAGATCAGAAGGGTAGATTCCCTCTGAGAGAAAGAGGGGAGTGAAGCTAAGCGATAGATCAATATATTTTCTAAATTTACCAACAGCAGAGGAAATAAGTGGTAGAGAGAGGCTTGGGGGAAAAAAATATCCCTCACCTGGAGACTAGGAGAAGGCAAAATATTAGGTTGTCGGAAAAGTCATGATGCATTTTTGCAACAGATGGCACTAGTTCATTTTTGGAAGTACTAGAGTCATTCGCATCTATGTTATTGCTATGTCATTTGACAGCTGACAGTTCTAGCTTCACTCTAAAAAAAATTGAGCTATTTGGTTGAGTTTTGGAGATTTTACAAGTTGAAGTTGGAAGACCAAACTCTGCATTTTCGCCATATTTTATTGTTTTACTTCCATAAAGGGAAGAACACGTGTCAAGCTTGTGAAAAGTTGTATAAAGTTTATTGTGACAATGCTCTACAAGAACATCAGAGCCAATGATGGTTCACAAAATTCTGTGCTGGTGATTTTGATCTCAATGACGCTTCTTGGTCAGGGGAGGCCCACCAAGGACGACAAAATAAAGACATTGATCGAGTCAGACCCAAGTTACATGACATGAGAGATTGCAGAAACATTGAACATCCATCATTCAAGCATTCATGACCACCTGAAGAAGCTGTGATACATAAGCAAGCTCGATATTTGGGTTCCACATGAACTGAAAGAAGTTCATTTGACGGTGCATATAAACATCTGCAATATGCTCTTTAAATGTGAGGAAAACGATCCGGTTTTTTTTAGCCTCATCCTAACCCTGACCCTAATTGTAAGCCTAAAACTGTCCCTAATCCTAATCCTGTCCATAAATTTACCGTAATTCTATCCCTAACCCTGTCCCTAATCCTAATCCTAAACCTGTACATAAACCTAATCATAGCACTGTCCCTAACCTTAACCCAAACGTTAACCCTAGCCCAGTCTTTAACTCAACTCTAACTCTAACACTCACCCTCACCCTACCCCTAACCCAAACCCTGTACCTAACTCTAACCCAAATTCTAACCCCGTTTTAACAATAACCCTCACCCAGTTCCAAATGTAACCCTAATCCTGTTCTAACCATTTCCTTAATACCAACGCTAACCATGTCCCTAACACTAACCCAAACCCTAAACCTGTTTCGCACTCTAAACTTAACACTGTCCCTAACCCTAAAACTGCCCTCAACCCTATTTCTAAACCTGGCCTTAAACCTAACTGTTTTCCTAGCCCTAACTTTAATCCAAACTCTGTCCCTAACCCTAGCCCTAACAGTGTCTCCAACCCTAACCCTAACACTGTTTCTAACCCTGTCTTGAACCCTAACCCTTCCCTAATGCTAACCCAACTCTGTCACTAACCCTAACCCTAACAGTGTCCCTAACCCTAAATCTAACACTGTCCCTACTCTCACTCTAAGCCTGTCCCTAAACGTAAACCTAATCCTGTCCCTAACCCAAACCGT